ACCCCCCCCCCCCCCCGCGCCTTGCTCCCCACTATAACTTTGCCATAGTCATACTTTTTCCTAGATCCGACTGAAATGACCAATGGAGCCCGCCGCAGGCCATCCTCGTGCCCCATGCCTGGAGTTCGTGCTACGCCACCCGGGGCGGTTCCATGTCATAGTAGTTGGGGGCAATGGCCCCCTACTATTTTTAAATTTTTTTATCATATGTATTGTGAAACTTAATTTTTTTTAATTTTTCTTAGATTTATGTAATTTATGACCCCAACTAAAATTATTAGAGATCTCAATTGAAAGCATTAGAGATCTTAATTAATAGTGTTAAAGTAAGAAAATAATCAGAGAAGTTGAATATTTAAGTATTAAAAGAATATAATTTTAAAGTGGAATATTTAAATGTCCAAATATAAATTCTAAAGTAGTACACTAAAAATATACGGAGTAATAATTAAACTAATTTATAATATTGGCATTAAATAAAAAAAAATTGATTTTGTAATTTTTTTACTATTTGAATAATTGTTTAAGGGTAAATTCATTATTTTTTAAATTTTCACATTGCATGGATATTAAAAAAGTTTTGAGGACGTTGCCCCCGAACACCCAAAAAGTGATTCCTACTATCTAACATCCTGGATCCGCCTACGCCACCACCTAACACATTGGGACAAGGCAAACAGGCTCGCAAGACTTCAGTTCGTTGGGCTGATATCTCATTGGGCTAAGGAGTTACGTACGTATGCATGGAAAACATGGCATGGTTTATTGTTCTTATTATTATTATTATTATTATATTACCAATTATTATTGTTATTATTATCAGTTATCGAGATAACAAAGTTTATTTCGTAGTGGGAATATGGAGTTATGTTAGTGTGGTTATGGGCCATTTCTTCAGGAGTAGTTATCAGTGGTTGCTCTCTATATTTACATGTAGGTACTCTTTCAAAAATTAAGAAGGTACGACGAAAGAAGTTATATCGTAATCTATACTCTAGTCGATCTTTTCTTCTCTTCCTTTTACCATTTTTTCTAGAGTTGCCGCTCTTATATAGCGGTAAGATCCATAACAATTTGGTACTTTCGTTGAGAGATGACGTTCGAAGCTGGAATATAAGTCCATTAATAACTCCATGTTGAACACACTGAAAGCTGGCAGACCTTAGCCACCTTAATTAACTACCTAGCTAGATCGAACAACTCACCATGAACAATAAGTTTCCACCTCTCGCCACCCAGCCCCCGATATGTGCCCGGCCTTAACTGAAACTACCTCGTTGCGAGCTGGCCACTTATGATGGAAGCAATCGATTATCTGGACTGGATAGCGAAATATTTTTCATTCTAGCTAGGATATTCTGGAGATTGACCATGCTAGTTTTTATATATATGATCAGTCTAGTGTTATATTGTAGAAGTGGATGCATAAGAATAAACAAATTTCTTCATGGGGAGTGATAAAATTTGGGATGGGTATGGACAACCGGATTGGGTAATAAGACATTTGGGCTGAACCACATTAAAAGATTGAATCTAACCGGTTGACCACTTGCAAATGAACTCTCATTCCATTGACTTTTTTTGAGCGCCAACACCTAAAGGACCACGAGCCGCTGGGTATGGATTTCCAGACGAGCAATCGTGTTAAACGGGCCACAGGCCGTTGGGTACATACTCCATACGGACAACTGGGCTAAAGACAAATGAGCCGCTAGGAATGAACGTCTAGACGGACACCTTGACAAACGAGGTGGGCTAAAACTTGCTCCGATACCATGATAGAATTTGGGATGGGTATGGACAACTAGATTGGGTAATAAGACACTTGGGCTGAACCACATTAAAAGATTGAATCCAATCGATTAGTTAGTTCAACTCAAGAGCTTATATACCGATTATTTTCCTCACATTTTTCCGATATGGGATACTCTTAACAGGGAGCTTTTTCCATTGCCTTAAACAACAGTTTGGCCCATCTAAATTTGTGAACCATCGAACTACCTTTTTTAAACTGGCCCAACACAAGGCTATGACAGTGTACCACAAGGAATTTAAGATGCTTTGTAGTAACCGAGTTACAGACTTATCGCCACAAGCCACAATGGATTGCTATAACTCATGGGTTAAACCAACCATCCAAGTGGAGAGTAACATTCTTAAGTCATCCATGCTGCCCGATGGCATGGGACTAGTCAAATTAATAGAAGAAAAGAAGCAATCTACAAAGGGTTGTCCTAATAGTAGGCTCTTCTTGCCGGAGATTAACACCAAACCATCATTTCTTCAGTCTCCAATATGTTAGAATAAATGTCCTTCACTAGAGGGGGGTGAATAGTGAGGCAGGAGAATGTTTATAAATTTTCGCAGAATAAAAATTGCAGGGATAAAGTTAAGAGCGAAATAAAAAGCGTAAGGAAAGAACACACTGATTTTATCCTGGTTCACGACAACGTGTGGCTAGTCCGGCCTCCCGAGAGACTCTCTCGAGCTACACTACTTCCGTTAAGCTTACGGGTGCTTAACAAACCGTTACAACTTGAGAACTCGAGTCCCACGAGCCTCAATACACCACTTGCTCGGAGATGCCATACTCCAAAACTTCAACCCGAAGGAATATGCCCTTCCTTTGTACAACCAAGGGAACAAACCTCCCTTAAAGTGTTCACAATACTTAACCACGCACTCAAGAACAAAAACTTTCTTAAAGTGTAGAATATGAGTAAACTAATTTAGATCAAGAACACACTCAATTCCTCAAGAAATGGCTTTAAAAAGCTATGTAAAAAGTTTATGCAATGATGCAACGTAAAGCTATGAAATGTGTGAGGAATGGTTGTGAAAAGTAGACCTAAAAGACCCCTATTTATACCCAAAAATGATGTGTAACGGATGTGAGTTGATTTGGGTTTAAAGGAATGATTTCTGGAAATCAAATAAAAATGGATTTGTAGGAAATCAAATAAAAGTAAGCCATTTTTCCTTCAGTTTTAAAGACAACGGTTACCAACCCATTGATGGGTAAGCACTTCCTATCGCTGGGTGGGATGTTTACTTTCAAACAAGGAAAGAATCAAGCTTAAATGCTTTACAACAGTCATGCCTAACCAGCGATGGTTATACCCTCCCATCGCTGGGTACCCAGCGATCTGTCCAAGTCCCCATCGCTGGGTGAGGGCATTTTGACTTGTGCTAATGTTGAACCACGGCTTGTACAGCGATGGGTGGAACTCCCCATCGTTGTGTGGCATGGTTCCGGAATCCATCTGAGCTAAACGACCACTTACCCATCGATGGGTAATATCTCCCATCGCTAGGTTGATGGCTAGTCCAAAAACCTATGGTTTTTGCCTGAATCTTGGCCTAGCCGACCGATGCTGAAAGCCGACCGATAAAATGTGAAGTTCTTCAAAATAAAAACAAAGTTTTGGAAACTCTTATACAATGTATTTTATGTATAAACCAAGTATAAAAACTTAAAAATCACTTCATTAAGGTAAAAACCATGGCTAGCCAAGTTTAAGTCGTTTCACATGGTTTTCACCAAAGACCAAAAACGAAAGGCGGTTTTTAACATATTTTTGTTGGAGAACTGTTTGGATATGCGCATAAGAAAAAACCAATCATAAGATATTAAAAACCACTTGATTGATTTGGACGCCAAAAACCAACGCCAATAACTGTTAGCCTTGGTTTGCTAAGCCTCGTGTTTTGATGTTAACAAACAATATAAGAGTTTAATGTTTGTTTAAGTGTTTCAGGTACAACAAGAATCCATTAAGATTCGATTTTCAAGAATGTAGTCGAAACACTAAACTAGCGTAGAATATAGGTAGAAATCGATGTAAGGATATGATTTTATATACTTATATTCATAAGCTCAAAAACACTCACAAAATATGTTTAAAACCTTTTTATAATCATTTTCAAACATCCAAAAAGTTTTGAATAAAATTAGAAATGATTTGGACAAAAATGAAAAAATTGTCAAAATGGTCACTAGGTACCGTAAGCACGGGACCCCCCTACCGTCTGGACGGGACCCCTCTACCGTAAAAGGTACTGTTACCGTTGGAACACTATTCCTGATTGCTGATTTTTGAATTAATTCAACCCTAATCACCTCCTAATGGCTAATTAACATCTTCCACTATAAATATTGGCCTAATACTTCATATTTCATTAAGAAACAAAGCTCCAAACATCTTCCCTTAATATTCTAAGAGGGGTGTATTCAATCTATATTTTAAAAGATTCTAATAGATTGTGTAGAATCCATGAATTCTGCAAATTCAATGGATTATTTTAAGTCTGCGCAGAGTTCGATAGATTTTAGTATATTTTATTAGTAGGATTTTATAGGATTATGGAGAATTGTTTATAATCCATGAATTATGTTGTCCTTTTTTTCTTTTCTTTAAAATATTTCTTTTCTTTTTTTCCTTCTTCTTCTCCTTTTCATTTTTCTTTATTTCTTTCTCTTTTGGCAGTGGTAGGAATGTTGAGGCATGCCTTCATAAACCACCTTTACATCAAAAGTTTGATTTTTGAAAACCACTTCAAGCTTGAGAGGTGGCTAAACAGACAAATTCATATTCACAAGTACTCTGCAGTAGTTAGGTTTATTCCTAAACCTCCTCCACTGGATGCACATCTTCATCCTTGATGATATGGGGACCGATTTGCTCAACCTTGTAGAGCTTTATACCATTAGTATCATTCCTACTATTTCTGAAAAAGGAGGCGTAAGATGGCTTCTTCATTGCCTCCGCCTTCTTTGGTGGTTGAGGATTTTCATCAAACACTTAGAGGGCAGGCGTTTCCTTGCTTTCCAGCCCTAGTTTCTTGTCAACAACTTCTTTTGTATTCAGAGACGAAGAATTAGACTCATAACCAGACGCATAGGAGCTCTCATCCTCTTCACTTGCACCCTCAGCTTATTCGATTTCTACGTCCTCGGTTTCTGCATCTTCGAGGAATTCAGAATCGCAGATGGGGACATTCACCGGATCTTCATTTTGGACTTCGGGTTTCTTCTTCTTGGACGAAGAAGAAGCTTTCTGTTTGGTAGCTTTCCGCGCCTTACCCATGGCAAAGACGGTCTACACCAACAGATGCGAGGAGTCCAAGATCGGCGGGATTGATTCGGCGAAGGGAGATATGGCCGGTAGAGAATGAGAGGATTCCAAGATCTAGAATTTGCAAAATCTTATGTTTTTGGTGAGATTTTGGACTTAAATTTCAATTTATACTCAAATCCCAAAATCCATCAAAATGTATATTTTATTAAAATATTTTAAAATCAATTGATTTTTGAATACTATAAGATTCAGAATGATATTTTAAAATCTGAATTAAATACATATAGATTTTAAATAACTTTTTAAAATCCGAATTGAATACTCACAGACTTTTGAAATCCTAAAAAATGCTACAGAATCTCGATTGAATATAACCCCCTAAGTGTGTTCATTCTATTATTCATTATTTTCAATATTTTGGTTATTTCAAGAAACTTAAATTCCTGAATTTTATACACACACTTTGAGCTTGTGTTTCTAGTTATATACTCTCATATTCATAAGTTTATATTGTATTTTCGAGAGAATATAATTTCCTTCTACACCGGCTAAGTTTTGTTCTTCATTTTTATATTCAAGCCGTTGTGTAGAATCCTCTTTTGTGTTCTTCAAACACACATTGTTACGGTCGAGAATAGCCATTAAATTCTCACATTGTAACGGTCGAGGATAGCTGTATAACTCCTTGGGTAAAGGTTCAAGGATAGCCTTTGAAATCCTTGGGGGAACGGTAGAAGATAGCCGTAAAATCTTCATTGTAAACAGTTCGAGATCGCCGTTGTGAAATCTCGAAGTGAATCCTATTGGCAAGGGTTGTTTTCCAAACTAGTGTGGTGCTTTGACGGATTTCAAGAGACCGGAACTTAGTGGATTCGAAAATCCTTGAGGAGGAGCCTCGAGGTACTAGAGTAGGGAGTTCCCGAACCAGTATAAAATCGGTGTGCATTTTATTTACGCTTTTATTTCTGCGTTTTATATATTGCTTCTGCATTTACCAACACTGTTTTTGTTAAACCCCGAAAAGTTTTCAAATGCCTTATTCACCCCCCCCCTAATGCGTAGGCACAACGTCTAAAATGACTAACAATTGGTATCAGAGCAGTTTCGTAGTTAAAAGTGCTTAACCGCATCTACGATAAAGATCCACTTGTTGTGTCCCTTTTTAAATTTGAAGTTTTAAAATCTCAAAATTTTATTATTTTCTTTAAATTCAAATTTATTGAAAAATGGCCCAAATGGACTCTCAAAGCATCTACCGCCCTCCGTTTTTCAATGGCCAAAATTATTCTTATTGGAAAATGCGGAGGGAATATTTTATTCAATCAATTGATTATGATTTATAGTTAAATGAACTTCACAGGCCATTTGTGTCGAGTAGTGGTAGTCTTGCAGGATTATCTTCGGAGGATAAGAGAAAATTATCCATGAATGCAAAGGCAATCAACATCCTCCATTGCTCTCTTGGCCCCGATGAATTTGCAAGAGTGAGTACGTGCAAAACGGACAAGGAAGTATGGGATCTATTAGAAGCCACTCACGAAGGGGACGTCTCAACAAAGCAAACGATGATTGCTCTAGGAAATTCGGAATATGAATCCTTCAAGAAAGGATCATGTGAGACGATTCAAGATATGAACAAGAGGTTCAACGAAATCGTTAATAAGTTAAGTAAGTTGGGTAAGCCATATACTACATGCGAATTGAATACAAAGATATTGTTTTCTTTACTTAAAGAATGGCATAGTAGTATAGTGGTTATTACCCAAATGTGATAAGGCCGAAACCGCCTACATTTGGTCTTCCTTGTATCCTCACGAGCTTTTGTTGAGAAAGATCAAAGAGGAAGAAATGCGTGAAAATCCCAAGCTTACCAACGCCTTCAAAGCTTCAAAAGACTCGTCAAGTGAAGAGTCAAGTGAATCAAGTGATGATTCAAGTGACTCAAGCTCCTCGGAAGAGTCAAATGATGAGGAAGATGAAGAGAAGGCAATGAGAATGAAGTATATGGATTTCCTAAAATGGAAAAAATACGTGAAGAGGAAAGTAGTATATTCAAAGCCGAAAAAAGAGCGGCATAAGCCAAGGTAAGTTCTTCTCACTTATTGGGATAAGATATTTTGTTTGGTTTTAATTATTTTCAAAAATAAACCTTATCCCATATGTGCTTTTATTTATTTTAGCCTTGGTTTGCATGATTAAAATTTTTTTAAATCATCTTTAAATCATGCATTTTAGAAAATAATCCCAAAAATCCCTGAAAAATAAAGTTTTTAAACTTGCATCATTTTAGGAGGAGTTTTCGTTTTTAGGGGGAGTTTCGTTGTAAATGCACCTTTTGTCCAATGATCTCCAAACTATCATTTTTTTAAAAAAATATTTTGATAGGGGGAGGGTTTCAAGAAGTTACACGTGCTTAAAGTTTTCAAAATGCCCTTTTTAATTTTGACAAGAGGGGGAGAAGATGTATATACTTCAAAGTGGTACATATGCAACTTGACTTGAGCTCAGTGCATTCTTGTGTAACTATTTGCATCAAATTTAAACTTTTAGTAAACACAAGAAAAATTTCAAAGTGAGTATTTTCAATATGCTTATTCTTAGGGGGGAGTTTGTTTGCTTCATTATTTTACTCCCACCTAACTCACTTTGAAGTATATTGTTTGTCAACATAAAAAAGGGGAGATTGTTAGTCTTGATTTGCTAAGCCTCGTGTTTTGATGTTAACAAACAATATAAGAGTTTAATGTTTGTTTAAGTGTTTCAGGTACAACAAGAATACATTAAGATTCGATATGACAGAAGGTCAAAAAATTACTATTTGTAGGAAGGTACCCATGAAAGAAGGATCGCGGGGATAATATTTGATAATATATGACTAAATATGAAAAACTATCTCTTATAAATGCCCAACTATGAAATTTACTCAAAATTTTATTATTTATTATGGAGTACTTATTTTTATTTGAACCATATCAAATCAGGTTAGACTATATTAGATTAAAACAAGCTTTAAATATTACTAAAAATAGATTAGACCAGATTAAATAATGCCAGAAAAATAGATCATATCAGGCTTTAATAAAATGATATCAGATCCAATCAGATCAGATAAAGAGAGCATGCTTTATATCTTTTAAACATTTAAAAGTCATAGTTTATAGACTAGTAATAAAATGTCAAATTTGGTATGACTTAGCATGTCGGTGGGCATTGTGTGGTTGGTAAAGGGGAGTGCCAAGGGATAGTAGACCCAAGTTCATTTCCTGCTAGAACACAATTATACTAAGTATAGGATCTCTGCAAGTACATCCAAATAACAGGGTGTATGCTCCACTCTCTCACACGAATCTACTCACATATTCCCTCCGTCCCAAATTATTTGCAACATTTGTTTTTTCAGCAGTCGCAGGAAGTTTTGTTTATTTCTACGTTTTCATTGGTTATTTAGTAAAATAAAATATTCTTGGCACCTCTTATTTTGAAGAACTTTTCATGTAGTTTTTTGATATGTAAATTTTATTTTTTATTTCTATACCAACATAAATAAAATGAATTGAAAAAACTTTATATTTTAATCGAGAATACAAGTGTGTCAAATATTTAGGAACTGGGATGGAGTAGAAAAAATATGGTCCATCTTTTTGTGGTTATACTACTTATACTAGTACATGGTGTTGGGTTTGTGGAGGCTTGGGCTTGACTTTTGGCCCGGCCCATTTTACGAAACCCTAGATGCACTTTTCCTATATATATTGCATACTTGTACTTGTAATCGGCACCACAAGTGAAATAAGAAATTCCTCCTGTTGCAGCCGTGGATTAGAGAAACCGAACCACGTTAAATTCTTGTGTGTCGTTTGTGTTCCGTTTCTCTCTTGATTGTTGCAGATTATTTGTGTGTGTTGTGTGTTTAATTCCCAACAAGTGGTATCGGAGCCTGGTGCGTTCAACACGAGCACAAATTGCCAGAAAACTTGTCACCTAGGGTTTTTCGGATCTGGGTGTGCGACAGATCTGAGAAGGAGCCGCTGCCCCCGTCAGCCGCGCAGGAGCAGCCGCTAATCCGTCCAGGCGCCGCCGCGGAGGAATCGTCCCACAACCAGACGTCGCCGTCGCTGAAGGAGAAGTGATTCTGTCGAGCGAGACTGCCGTCGGGTTGAGGAGCCGCCGCCGCCGCTGAGTTGAGGAATTCGCCGCCCCATCGTTCGGATCACAGAGAAGGTGCCGCCGCCCTCCGTCCAGCCGTCAACCGCCGTGTGTGAGCAGGTGTCGTCCGACCGCTCACCGAGTAGCCACCGTCGTCCTGCCAGAGAGCCGTCGCCATCCGCAGATTTGTCGCTGTCTAGAGAAGGTGTAGTCGCTGACCCAAGCCGCCGCTGAGGAGTCGTCCAGATTCCTGCTGCGGTTACCCAGTATTTCCAGCCGCTGTTTCCTGCGAAGAAGAAGAGGCCCCCGGAAAAAAAAACAAAAGGACAAAAGCAAAAAAAAAGGGTTTTTTTTGGGCAGGTACGAAACTTTGGCAGAAAGGAAAAAAGGGGAAGAAAGGCAAGTGGGCTATCCTTTTCTTATTGGGCTTTTATCAGATTTGGGCCGTAAATTTCCTTGTTGGTGATTATTGGACCTGTTTTTGTTTTGGCTAATTTAATTGGTGTGGTGGACCTGATTTTTTTAAGGAAAAATTACCAAGATCTGAAATTATTTGTACCGGGTATCTCATCTAGTTTTTTGAGATGACAGAAGACGGAAAGTTCCGAATTGAGAAGTTCGATGGTACAGATTTCAGTTGGTGGAAGATGCAAATTGAAGATTTACTGGTTCAGAAAGATTTGGACGTAGTTTTGGGTGACAAGCCAGAAAAAATGTTGGATGCAGATTGGGCAAGTTTGGATCGGAAAGCTATGTCAGTGATCCGTCTCTCGTTGACCAAGAATGTTGCGTTCAACATTCTGAAGGAGAAGATAGCGAAAGGAATTATGGAAGCGCTGTCTAACATGTACGAGAAGCCATCTGCTGCTAACAAAGTTTTTCTGATAAGAGAGCTGGTGAACACAAAAATGAAAGAAGGCACTTCAGTTACCGAGCATATCAACAAGTTGAATTCGATCTTAGCCAGACTCTTGTCAGTGGGCATTAAGTTCGATGATGAAGTTCAAGCTTTACTACTGCTATCGTCTTTACCTGATAGTTGGTCTGGAACGGTTACAGCAGTTACCGGTTCAGTGGGACCCGATGGATTCACCTTTGATCAGATTCGAGATCTCGTTCTTGGCGAGGACGTCAGAAGAAAGAGTTCCGGGGAATCATCTGGTGAATTGCTTCATGTTGGTAGAGGTAGAAGAAATAACAGAGGTAGTGGGAGCAGGAACAGACAAAGGAGTCAGTCGAAGACTCGTGACAGCTCAGGTGTAACGTGCTGGAAGTGCAAGGAGGTAGGGCATTTTAGGAATCAATGTCCGAATGATAAGAAAGTAAACATTGCTCAAGGCTCTGTGAGTGACGAGGAGGTCGCTCTGACTTGCTGTGAGGAAAGCAATGTGGATTCCTGGGTCATGGATTCTGGTGCTTCATTTCATGCTACCCACAGCGGTGAAGCATTGCAGAATCTAGTTTTTGGAGACTTTGGAAAGGTACGACTAGCAGACGACAGAACTCTTGAGGTGACGGGCATGGGTGACATGGTGTTGAAGACCCTAGTCGGTTTCTGGACTTTGAAGGATGTCAGAGTGGTTCCAGCCTTGAAGTTCAGAGATGGGCAGTGGAAGGTCATAAAGGGAAATCTTGTCATGGCCCGCGGAAGAAAGAGTGGTTCGCTGTATATGGTCGAGTTACCATCTGAGGGAGTGACCGTCCCAGTTCAGAAGAAAAACGAAGTCCGGTTCACAGAGCCTCGTGGGTAGAATAAGGTTGTCTGTGCAAGAGAGAAACCTAAAGCCACTGGTCAGACTCAGGATGAACGAGTTTGGAAAGGTTCAAGGAGGCCAGTCAGAGGTATTTGTGGCAGTGGGAGCTCAAGAGGCGCTTCAGCCAAGTGCCTAGAAGACAGTGGGTCAGGAGAACCAGTATTCCAGCTGTTGGAACATCTCCAGAAAATTTCTTGCTGAGTATGGAGAGTGTTTGTTCTCAGGATGTTCCAGGATCCGGCAGTGTGCGTCTGCAGTGGGAGCCGGTAGGGACCGAGGACGAGTCAGGGGCAGATTTTGCCGTGACTGATGTGTTGGAGCTTGGGAGAGCTTCAACGGGCCTTTCAGTTGTCTGATGTTAGGGCCGCTGCAATAGGAGAGCTGAAGAAGATTACTCGATGTACAGGGAATCGTGGTGGATGGCAGTTGATGACTATCAAGCCTCCAAGTGGGAGAATGTTGGGTTTGTGGAGGCTTGGGCTTGACTTTTGGCCCGGCCCATTTTACGAAACCCTAGATGCACTTTTCCTATATATATTGCATACTTGTACTTGTAATCGGCACCACAAGTGAAATAAGAAATTCCTCCTGTTGCAGCCGTGGATTAGAGAAACCGAACCACGTTAAATTCTTGTGTCTCGTTTGTGTTCCGTTTCTCTCTTGATTCTTGCAGATTATTTGTGTGTGTTGTGTGTTTAATTCCCAACACATGGTGCATTCAAACTTTGTTCGAGAGGAGTACGACAAAAATCACGTGGTGTGGGGCGATAAGATGGGATGCACCGTGTCCATCCATCCAACTCCCTTTTCTTTCTTAAAACCCGCTCCATCGCGTTAGGGAAATGAAGTGAAGTGGTTGTGGGCATGTGATAATATTTTTAGTGCATTTTCTTTCTTTCTTTCTTTCTTCAGTAAGCTAACTTCTAGGATAAGATAAGATAAGAGATACAATGGCGGCCGGTTTAGTAGTTTAAGTTTCATCCACTCATTCCTCAATTTCAACTTGAACAATATATAATTGGGCAGATCAGAATTCAGAAGGGTAATAGCTAGGGCGAAAAAAATGTGGAGACCAAGATGTTCGATGTTGATGAAGCTTGTGCTGCTCTTGTCTCTCTCAGTGCGAGGAGCTCTGTGCCATGGCAATTTCCAAGCCTTCTACTTTGTGCAGCAGTGGCTGGGTTCTTACTGCAACCAGAAAGGAACCAGATGTTGCTACCCACCCACCGGGAAGCCAACCCCAGACTTCACCATCTATGGCCTCTGGCCTTACAACTCCGACGGCAGCTTCCCCGACAATTGCCCCGGTGATAGTTTCAACGTCGCTCCGGTAATCCCCTTAATCTTTTACCTCTTAATTCTCATATGTGAAATTTGCTGTAAATAGGACTAAAATATAATGACTTTCCTAATCTAGGACTTAAACTTTTTTATTCTCTAAATAGGACTTAATAATGACTTTGTGGGAGGAATAATGTCCAGTTATGACGGACATTTACTTGAATAATGACTACTTGATAATGACCAAATTGGAAAAGTCATTATGTTTTAGTCTTATTTAGGTAAATTACTCAGTTATAAAAATGTATCAACTTTCCATGTGTGTCCTTGATGTGATATAATCAATTGAATGTAGTGTAGATGAAAAAGGAGACTTTAATTGCACATTCTTCAAAAGTTAATTGCCAAAACTGGAAACATGAAATAAATTTGTGGATGACCCAAAAAACAAAGTAATTAATGGATAGAGGGATAGGGATTAAATATATAAAAAAAAATATCAAAATAAGAGTTCTATATAGCAGTTCGCACTGTGACACTGTATGTAGATATTTAGCCATACTTTTTCGAAATGTATATGATCATGATTGACCAGGTAAATGCATATTAACTTCTATTTCAGAAATAAAAACATGGAACTCCCAATTTGATATAGTTTCAATGCTTGACTCCTAGGCTCCTACCTTAGTCTTTCCCCAATACAAGTAATCTATCTAAATGGAGTTTATACTAGAATGAGACATTATGTTTTGGAGTTTATACCAGAATTAAAAAAGACAATATCTTCCTTGGTGCATTGCAGCTTAAAGCAATGGAGGACAGCCTGCAGAAGGCTTGGCCATCCTTCACATGCCCACTGATAGGGAGGAAATTCTGGCTACACGAGTGGAACAAATACGGGACTTGCTCAATGTCCGCGGTGCCCGAGCTGCACTACTTCGAATCCGCAATCGACCTCAAGAACCAGATCAACATCCTTCAAGCACTCGCGAAAGCTGGAATCCGGCCGAACAACAAGTTCTACCCTCTCAAGTCCATAAAGAAGGCGGTCGAATCGGCGTTCGGGTTTCACCCGTGGGTGAACTGCAACCACAACGCGAACGAGGAGAGCCAGATTTGGCAGATCACATTGTGTGTGGATAGGAGTGGCAAGAAGCTTGTGGATTGCCCCTTTATTCCCAAGGGAAGAATCGAGTGCGCGACCGAGGTCTTTTTCCCTTCTTATTACTAAGTTGGTACGGTCTGCAAAAAAACCCCGAACCCGATGGTTATATCGGAGCGGTTTCGTTGGCTAGAGAATATGTATTTTTTCTCACCAACGAATCGACAATTCGCTCTCGTTTTGATTTCGTACATTGTGTTTCTGCATTTTGTGTTAACCTTGGATTGGATTTGGAATGGCTCCCTTTGTTCCCTAATTTTGTTATGGTTTTTCCATTTTGGTCTATTCAAGTGCTCCTATAAATCTTATGCTGATTGTATTGCACACTAGATGCATTATAAGTGCGTGTCTGAAGTACACACTTGAAGATAGTTGGCATGTTATCCCAACTAATAAACTTATTTCTACCCCAAAGATTATACTACAAAGTGTATTCCAAAAATTTACATTTAAATTTTATGTTAATGCAGGTGTGAGATTGATTACTTATATTGATACAAAATATTGGTACAAAATTTTACGATTAGAGTAACATTTTCTGTCAATATATACATTAAAATGTAAGTGTAAATTTAAGAATACAATTAGTAAGGTTAAATCCCAATTATTCCCTTTTTTGTTTCCTAACTCTATCTTTCTAGTCCGTGGATTTTGAGAGGAAAAAGAAAGAATGATTTTTTTTCATACCTAAAAGAAAGAATGATTTTTTTTAATACCCAATTATTCCATTTTTTGTTTCTTAACCCTATCTTTCATTTTCTTCTTCTTTCACTTTGATTGTTCGTTTCTTCTCTAATCAAATAAGAAAATTGTTTTTCTTCCTTTTTGTTTTCATTTTCTATTCAAACTTTTTGTGTCATAGTGTAAAGAGAAATCACAGTCCATAATACTTTCATAAAATAGAATATAAGTAGAAATCGATCTTATAAATAATTTTTCTGGAAAAGAGTAAAGTTCCAGAATAATCCTTTCTTGTAAGGCATTTCTCAAAACAATCCTCGATAGATACTAATTATCTATATGGTACTTTATAATTAAAATTTATTC